AATAAATTGTAACATTTTGGCATTGCTTTAAAAAATGCTTATGGAGGTAAACTATTTAAAACAAATGGAGCCTTAAAAATTGTTTAAATCTCACATTTTTTGAGCAGAATTGAAAGATAATCCAGGCTTAAAGCTGAGGTTCATGTTTAGTCTCTGACTGCTGTGTGACTGATTCTGGAGGCAGAAAACTTTACTTTGGATCTGGAACCAACTTATTGATCACATCCAGTGAGTCCAGTTATATTTTGTAGCTAATGATGAACCAGGTCATATTCTGACTGAAGGTTCAGTAGAGAATTGTCTTTTTTAAGAGTTTCTGATCTTGGATCCTGTCAGTAAAATTCCTGTAATTATGTCTATGAGGTTAAATGTTACTGGATCAGATTAAAACAGATAGTACAGTTATTACTCCCACGATCAACAATAAACTATATTCAAACATATTTTTTTATTATTACAAATATTATTTTAAATATTTTTCTAGTCGTCATATAGACGTTGGTTTTTAGGCTATTCTGGTGGGTCGTTTAAAGTCTTGATTTGGTCCAGAAATAGTTCCTGAAACCTGAGCTGTGTTTGGTCGGTCTGATTTTGTCTCACTTTAGTCCAATAATAGACGTTAAACATTGGGTTCATTTTGACGTCTTTCCAACAGCACGAAAATTACATCTTTTCACGTTTCACTTTTCAACCAAACCTAGACGTTGTTTGGACGTTAATCACCAAATTTTTGCTCAGTAGGTATTAACCAGTTTTAATTTAACTCCAATGATGTAAATTAAAGTTTACGTGAACGTGTTTGGAGCAGAAACCCACATTAAGCGCTCTGGTAGTTAATGTTTGGACGTACTGTATGTCACTGGGTGTATGATGGAGGAAAAAGAATCATATTTGGACCAGGAACTGAGCTGAAAATACACAAAAGTAAGATAATACAGCATTCTGCAACACAAACTGTAACCAACCTTTCCTTGAATAATCACTTTATACACATTTAAAGAAAAGAAATAGCAAATAATAAAGACAAACTAACTGTTCACCAATGATGAAAATACATTAGATATTCGTGCTGATTTTAAAAATGTTTCAATTATTTGTCAACTTTAATCCAAACCAGAAAAAAAAAACTCTAAATACTTCAAAGTTCTTTACATAATTGAAACCAGTAATTGACCAACCATCCTGAACTGTGTGACTGGGTCCCAGAAACTCCTGTTTGGTTCTGGAATCAAACTCTTCGTCTCCACCAGTGAGTCCAGTTTAACTTTCATTACAAGCAGGTTCTATTTGCTCTACACATTATTCTACAAGTATTTATATTTTTATAGAAGTTCTGACTAAAATATAAACACATGGAGGACACATGGTTTGACTTGTTCCACATTCATTGAGGATTAAATCTCTAAAAATGGCTGACATTACTGCGGAAATAATAATGACAAAGTGTTTAATAAAGTTTGATAATGGTTTAGTAGATGTGGCATTTATTGGAGTTCTAAAAAAAAGTGAAATATTTCTCTTTATAAAGACTTGTTGTTGTTGGATATTTTTTATATGAGCCGATTCTTTTTCTCAATTATTTCTCAAACTTTAAACTAAAACCAAAGAAAAATCTGAAAGCTTCAAAGTCCTGAATAGAAGTAATTGAACAGTCACACTGAGCTGTGTGACTACTAGTGGTTACCAGAAGCTCCTGTTTGGTCCTGGAGTGAAACTCTTCATCTATAGCAGTGAGTTAAGTAGAATTTATTATATATAAAACACTAAATTAGAATCTGTTTCTATTTATCTTAGTCTCAGAAAACATATTTTTTTGTCAGTAAATCTTAGAGTAAAGTATCACATCATCTGCATACAGTTTGACCTAGTATTACGTTATTGTTGGTAGACATCAACCTTTTTCATGATTTTAAGGTTTGAATCTAAGAAGAAATCTAAAATCACGACCAGATTAATAACGTTAATGGTTTACCATGATAAAATAATAATGGAAGTTGTAAACATACTTAAAAGTTCTGTCCTTGTGAAGATTTGGTGAAGCTTTTGGGTCGATGGTATGAGCTGTGTGAATTACGCTGACAGAAAAATCTTTAAAAAAGGAGTTAACCTTTTTAATTCAGTCTAGTAAAGTTATATTATATTATGTCTGTTTTTATGGTCATGTGCCTTTTTAATAAATTATTTTAAAATCAAACATTCTAGAAACAGTCACATTAACTGTTAATGTCGGTTAGATGGTATATTTTATGTGTTGGTTAATGAACAGCTGTGTGCACGGAGCTCAGGTTCGGTTTAGATTTTTCAACAATAAAAGACCAGAAAGAAACAAACTAAATCTCTATGTTATCTTCATCTCTGAGTCCGGATGGAATAGAAAACATAAATGTTTTGGTTTAGGGGAAACTAGGCAGGATTTTCTGTGCTGAGTTTGTGCTGAGCAATTTGTTAGTGTGTGAATGACGGGACGAGGAAAATTATCTTTGGGCGAGGAACTGAGCTAACAGTTCAAAACAGTAAGAAAAATATTTCTTTAATTAAATGAGACAGATTTAATAACAGATCAGTCTTTCAATAAAAGACACTTAAATGTAAAATTTACTCAGTATGCAGTTTTATTCAAACACAGTGATCCTAAAATAAAGATCAGAGAATCACAACAGCAAAAAGATTAAAAGTTTAGACTAAAAGTTAAGGTCATTTAAAATATAACTTAACTTTTTTATTAGATTGTATTGTTTAAATGTTAAATAAATAAACTGTGATACTCGGCATCTTCATATAATTACACTTTACATTCATTAAAAAAGAAAAAAACAATAAACTTCTTCATATCTAGATTTGGATTTAAAATCAAAATCTTTTCACTACAACTAAAGTCAGAGTCCAGTTTAAACGTTAAATGTCTGTAGCCGTTAAAATGTAATAGAACAGAACTAAATCCTGCAGATGAAACCCAGACAGGTCAAGAACTAAAGGTTCTTCTCTAGTTTTTGTTTGTGGCCGGCTGACTGTGTGAATGCTAACAACTATAAACTGCTGTTTGGATCAGGAGTCCGGCTCACTGTTTCACAGCGTGAGTTAGAATTTTATCCTTTCTGTTGAATCCTCAAACATTTAAGATTTTTATACAGAGACTTTTAAGTCAAACTGTAAAAAATTAATCTGAAAATGGAGTAAAAAATCCTTTATCTTCAACAGAGCCGTGACTTACTACATTTAAACTTCTGAATCTATTTTAAACAATGACATAGATCCAAATAAATCTACCACTGGATAAGAAATACTTATTTTACTAAACATTAGTCGCATCTAAAAACCATAACCACTAACTTTCTTCCAGATGAACCTCAGTTTAAGCAAAAAATCTGCAGAAAGTTGGGAATAAATGTTCTACATTCTAATGGAAACGCCTCTGCTTTAAAAAAACAACAACACTTAAATCATATTAGAAAACTGTTGATTCTGCAAAGAGTTAAAGGACAGTTTGGTTTTTAACCAACGTCGGATCAATGTGTGACACAAAGCGGTGTAGCTAAACTCCTGTTTGGACACGGAACTAAACTTTTAGTGGAGAGAAGTGAGTGAAAATGAACCTTATTTCTAACTTTTATTTTCTTCAAACAGTAACTCATTGGTTTTGTAAAGTTCTCCATCATTCGCAGATCCATACATTTATTCCACCTGCTGATAGAACCAGAATCAGCAAAGTTTTATAGACAGAATTTAGCTTCAGTTGGGCTGAGTCCATTTTGACTGTTTAACAATAATTAAAAGTTCATCAGGAAAAAAACGACAGTTAGGTTTTTAATCAAATCATTCATTAAACTCCTGTTTGGAACCAGAATTGAACTTTAAGCGGAGAAAGTGTTTGGAGCAGAGTTTTATTCTGTACTGCTGTAGTTTAAAAATGAATATACAGCTTTTCAACACAAAGTTTAAACCCGTAGTTCTACTAAAATAAAGAGTAAACATAAAAACTAAAGGACCAGATCCATAAAACATCAATCTCAGAATTTTAAATAGAGTTTAGAAACTGGAGCAAGTTTCTGGACTGAACTGGTTTTTGTAACTGGTTTAGCTCCAGTGTGAACAGCAACAACATTAAAGTCACGTTTGGATCTGGAATCAAACTAATTGTTTCATTTAGTAAGTTGATTTCCAGAATTTTAATTATTTTAAATAATATTCCAATATAAATGAACAAACAATTATTTATATTTACATTACTTAATACGTTTTTTTATGATCAAAAAGTTTAAAAAAATATTTCTACAAACGTTTGAAATGATTATTTTTGCTTTCATTCTTTCAAACTATTAAACTATTAATTTGAGATTTAGTTAAACAGGTTTGTTCTCCACTCCTCTTTAAATGTGAAAAATAAAGGAGAAAGATGTTAAAGACAAATGTTTAATGAAAAATATGACTGCTAAATATAAAAAATGAAAGCAGATATTAGGTGCTGCTTTTTGTAATTGCTTGGTTGGTTGTGGTATTCTCATCCTGCCTGCTTCTAATCCATTAAAGCGGCTTTGAACATGTAAGTTAAGAAAACTGATTATATGTAATATCTTAATGAAATATTTGGATTTAGGGATAGTTTGATCAGACATGAATTGTTTCAAAGACCCAAAGTCTGTTTGGTACCAACAGTTTGAATACAGCCAAACCAGATGTTCTTTGTCTTTACTGTAAATATTGTATTTGTATTCCTGCTGGGATGTTTGTTTAAAGAATCAATCCTAATAAGGAAAAGTTCAGTCAAACAACGAAACTAAAACAATTTGCTCCATAAAATGACAAACTAATAAGGGGGTTTTACAGTAACAATGATAAAATGGCATAAAGTAATGTTTAGAACTCTGACCTGTGTGGATCACAGATGAATGAATGAAGTTTTATGAAGGAACACATCATGTGTTCTTTCAGCCAGTCAACCAAAACTGTTTCATGTTGGTTTTATGTTGGATATTCATGACTCGTCCTTCTGTGTGTTTCAGATAATCCAGTCCAACCGCAGTACTACCAACTGAGCAACAATGAGACCACAGTTTGTCTGGCAACAGGATTTACAAGACACAACCAAACCGAAGACAATGATGACTTCAAGGATACCAGTGCCAGTCCGATAAGAGATTATAACGGCAACCCAACAGGCTACTATAACCAGGTGGCTTTCCCAATAGAAGGTCAAAGTTGTAACGGTGAGTCATACCAAGCCAAACATTCCAATATTTAGAGAGTTTCTGGAAATTACTGCTATCATCAGAGATTTGAAGCTAATGATTTATTCTTATGTTTGTTTTACAGAAACTGATAATCCAGATGAGAAATGTACCTCCACAGTGGATCCAGGTAGGTGTTGGACCCAGCTGAACATTTCTTATTTTTTTTTCTAAACCCGTTTCCACCTGTTTAACTGTCGTGTCCCTGATGCTTGCAGATGAGATGGTGAACCTGGCCTCCCTGACCATCTTTGGCCTCAGAGTGATCTTCATGAAGACCGTGATCTTCAACGTCCTGATGACGCTGCGGCTGTGGATCAGTCAGTGTGAGTATCGAACTGCCCCGCTCATCCGAGCGCAAACAGGAAGTTCAGTCATCACTATGATAATGAAACTTCCACTTGCACCAAACTAATGAGCTACCAAACAGAGCTGCTCGGGTGCAAAACCTCAAATAAAATAAATAATTAAAAATAAATTTATGTCGGTGGATCCAAGAAACAGTTTGAGTTAAAGGTTGAGGTTTTATCTCACAGGTTTTAAAGCTTAAAATTCTTTTAAAACTCGTCAGCTCTGAGCTTTAGATTTAGGATAAAACTCATTTGAGTCAAAAAAAAGATCCCAAATATTTTCATAATGATGAGAGGAAACTAGTGGCCATGTTTTGGGTTTTCCGACCCTGTTCTGATTCGTTCTGTAACAAAATAATTTAAAAGCTTGAGAAAGAACCGGATTTGGATGGGACTGAACTGGATCAGTCAGCATCTCCTAATTTATTGCTTTCAAATGGAAGGTCGTTGAAAACAGAGACAAAGCTTATATCCGACAGTCGCACCCAGAAACCTCAGGGCTCTCTGGTCCGCCTGTATCCGGTTCCCTTTAAACTTGATCTAAAACTGGAGAAAATGTAAAGCTGGATTCATTTCTGGAGACGATTTACTGAAGGACTCATGAAGACAGAACTGTAAGCATCCAAACGGGTTGAATTTGTCCCGATCACCTGAACCTGTGATGTGGAGGACATGTCCAGGTGATTGTCCAGTTATTATCTGAACTCTTTGTCGTTAACACAGGCAGATCATTCAAGTTTTAGCTTCAGATTAATCTTCCCAATAATCTCAGTCGTTCAGCCTTTTTAAATTCGTTATTTCACTGTTGAATTTAACAGTTTTAGATCTCATGAATTAAAGGAATGTTTCTCTTTTGTTTTTTAGAAAACGACCGGAATGAAGGGAACTTCCCAGAAGAACGTCCTGCTGAATGAAGTGGAGCTGCTGAAGCTTCTTTCTCTGGAAATAAAACATGAACAGAGCTAATATCAACTTATTTTATAATCATGGGTTTTAAAATCAGTCTCTATTTCTATTTCTGATTAATGAATTGTGTTTTTTTTATTGTTGTTGTTGTAAATATGAAAATATTAATATCTATAATAGAAATATTTTCTGTTTTCTTGACCAAGTCTGTGTGAAACTTCCTGTTTGACTTAAAATAAAAGCTGGTAAAAAAGAAAAAGTTTAGAGTTTGATTTTCTGACCAAATGAGGAAGAAACAACTGCTAACAGCCTTAAACTGACAATTAATACTTCTAACTGCAGATGCACCGACCTGATACCTGGATTGGATATCGGCTCCGGTATTGACTAATTAGCTGCATCAATTATCAGTGATTTGATACTGGAGATCCAATTCAGTGCAGAAGAATAGAAGTCAAGGCTGAAGCTTTCACTCAAATGAAAAGATATATTGTTAATTCATTTTAAATGTTGAATCGTATCGGTATCGGATATTGGCCGATATGCGGAGCGCAGGTATTGGATATCTGATGCTAACTACATGAAATTGTAGATTTTCGCCCAAATAACTATATTTTTAGCTCCATGTTGGGGGGGCAGGTATTGTATTTACATACAGTAATGCCCAATAGAAGAGAATATTATTTCAGTAACTCCACCACTCTAGAAACAGATCCTATAGATTAATTCCTTTAAAGGTTTTCAAAATTTTATTTCAGCTTAATATGAAGATTTTCATAACATTTATTATTAAAATATGACATCAGTGCTACAAACACATGGATATAGAAATAAAATTATGATTAATACCTGTTTAAAGGTTATTCTTTTCTAAATCAAATTTTAATCTGACAAACAGTTCTCAACAGAAACAATATTATTGAATCAGTTTTTAGATTGAGCGTTTAAAAAACTGAAATGAAACAAAGCTGAAACTAAAACTATCAAAGAAAATCCTTTACTGAAACTCAGGCATAGAGAATTCGGGGATATAATCAATAAGCCAATAAATATAACAGGCCTCATGAGCCTGTTTATATGTCTACTACAACAGACGCCGAAAAACCACCATTCAAGCTCCACGGTCGACCAGAAGTATCCTGGATGGGATGATGCAGGTCTCTTCATCAGAGACGTCAGAGTTCCTTAGTCAGTCACCTCTGAGACAATCCTCAGACTTAAACTCAACTTTATTTATCTCTAGGAATTCATCCTTCAGGGAAATTCTGGTTACAGTAGCTTATATAGAGTTAAAGCAAGTTACCATTAAATATAAAAATATGACAGACATTATAAAAGAGTGTTTATAGTACAAAAAAGCATAAACAATTAAAAATGTTGTAATGTCCTGGAATGCTTTAGGCATAAAAATATCTGCATAGTAGATGCTAAGGGAAGGATTCCCAGTAGTAGAGCTGGGTTATTGCACCTGCACTGCAGAACTGTACATATACCATATAAATAAGTGAAAATTATACAGACTACACAGTACTTGACTTGGATTATTGCACAGTAAGAGAGAAGAATATTGCACATGAGTGACAAAAAGTAATGTTTACCATAAGATGTCCAAGGAGGGGGGGTGCTGACCCTTGTGTCTCTTCCTATCACCTCCTCTTCCCCCCAGTGAGGAGTTGTACAGCTTGATGGCTTAGGGACAAAGGAGTTCAGTAGTCTGTTGGTCCTGCATTTGGGAAGGAGCAATCTCCCACTGATAAGGCTCCTCTGACTGGTGAAGACAGTGTGCAGAAGGTGGCTGGCACTGTCCATTATGTCCAGCAGTTTGTTAGGTGTCCTCGTCTCTGCCAATCAGAGAGCCGGGTCGTATGACTAGTTTGTTCAGTCTTGAGGTGTCCTTCTTGGATGTGCTGCTCTCCCAGCACATCATGTTTAGAAGAGGACACTGGCAATGACAGACTGGTAGAAGACTTGATAGCTTATTACAGATGTTGAACGACCTCAGTCTCCTTAAGAAGTCCACCCTGCTCTGCGTCTTCCTGTGCAGGTCCTCGTAAATCCCTAAAAACCAGTTGTTCCTCATCAGTTAAACAAACAACAATTCAGTTCAACTTATTTCTATAGGGCCAATTTATAACAAATCTCATCTCAAGGGACTTTATAGAGGCCTAGAGTCCGATTGGTTCAAACTTTTCTATCTGAGCTAACCCAGCCGATGCAGAAACCCAGCAGAGAGCATAGAGTCATCCAGGTTTTTATGTCTTCCAGACTTGGCTGTGATGAATTCAGTTTTCCCAAATATTATTCATAATTTCAAATGACGGTATTTTTTTTATTTCCAAATATTTTCCTTTCTTTTAATATAAAAATTGATATTAACCTTTATTCATTCAACAAAAAAATCTCACACTATATTTTGAAGTGTGCATCTTTTGACCTGTTTAATTTCCTCGGTCAAGTTTGACTTTAAAACTTCATGATCGGACCCATGATTTTACATATTTTTTCAGCATGAACAGTTATAAATAAATAAATAATTAAAACATTTAAAAACTGTTTCCTACAAATGTTAGGGCATTAATACACATAAAATTTTTCCCTTTATAAATGTCCCAGATATTATTGTCAGCTGTTTCACCCAATGATAATACTCAGCAACGGGTTGCTCCATACTGACATCACTCACATTGCTGGAGGGTTCAGCCTTTTCACAGAATTTGAACACAGATTGGTATATTTAAAATCCTCCTGTTCAGTATTTCATGTTGATTACATGTTACACATTGAAAGGGTCGATTGGTTTTCAACTTTGTTATTAACATTATCTTTTATTTTTTGGTTGTTTTAATGGCAATAATGTGAGTTAATCATAGTCATTGGTTACACCTCAACAACTGTAACTAACATAAATGGACAAAAATGTTGAAAATGTCATCTACATTACCTATCAAATGTAGCACCATGTACAGATATGCACAGTTGACCATTCAGAAATATTTCCTGTTTACCTGAACAGAAATATCATATCCTCTCATTATCAATAAATTTGTCATCAAAGTCAACAAACTGAAATTGATCAGATAGATAAGATTTAAACCAGTCTAGTGCTGTTCCTTTAATTCCAACAAAATATTAAAGTCTTTCTAAAAGTATATTATGGTCAACTGTATCAAATGCAGCACTAAGATCCAACAGGACGAGCACAGATACAAGTCCATTATCTGAGGCCATGAGAATATCATTAGTGACTTTCACCAGAGCTGTTTCAGTGCTATGATGAGCTCTAAAGCCAGACTGAAACTCTTCAAAAAGTTCTTTATGGTGGAAGTGATCGCAAACTTGTTTGGCAACTACTTTCCCAAGAATTTTCGATAAGAAAGGAAGATTGGATATAGGTCTATAATTGACCAATTCATCTGGGTCAAGAGACGGTTTCTTAACCAGAGGTTTAATTAAAGCAACTTCGAAAGCCTTTGGCACATAACCCTGTAACAGAGATAGACTAATCACATCTAAAATGGAAGACAAGATCAAATAGAATACATGTACTTCCTTAAATAACCTGGTTGGAACTGGATCTAACATGCAAGTTGAAGGCTTAGATGAGAACAATAGTTTTGCTAACTCTGAAAGTTCAAGTGGATCAAAGGAGTCTAAACCCGGTTCAGATTCCATGACTAACTCAGATGCTGCCCACCTTCCAGAAATAAACCAATCATAGTTAGAGGAGTGCAAGAGTTTGGCAACTGTATTAAAAAGATATCTAGGATTACTATTAATGAGGAGAAATATGCTGCTCTACTTCTAAAAAGAGTATTTTTTTATAAAGCAGTAACTGTTTTTCCATATTAAGGAGGATTCTTTTAGATTTGTAGGAAAACATTTTGTCTCCAGTTTTCTCACATTTTATTTCAGTGTGCAGCTCTGTATTAAATAAAGGAGCCATTCCCCCATTAATAATGTCTTTCATTTTCAAAGGGGCTCTCTAAAGCTGTGTCCAGGGAAGAAATAACCCCATTACTTCAGATTTTCTTTGACCTGGAAAAAGGGAGTAAAATGAGTAAAATTGGGGTATTACAGAGTTAGTTGCAACAATACAAATTTCAGTTTTATCAGTATTAGAAGTTTAAAGTTAACCAAGATTTTCTTTCAGATAGAGGCACAAGGAGGGAGGGCAGAAGGATTGGTTTGCTAGAAAGGTAGAGCTGGATGTAATCACTGAAACAATGAAAACAAATTTGTCATTTATAGCAAACATTTCAGAGGGGACCAAGAATGCAGCACACCTTATGAAACGGAGATGGAATCTGATCTCGATAATAATAATTGAACTTTATTGATGTCACATTGGAGAAATGTACCTCTGCATTTAACCCATCCCTTTGGGGAGAAGTGGGCTGCCATTGTGTGGTGCCCGGGGAGAAATCAGGGGTTAAGGGTCTTGCTTAGGGATCAAGAGTGGAGGCCAAACGCACTGCTCTAACCACTAGGCCGGGGGTCGGCAACCCGCGGCTCTAGCCCCACCCTTTGTTTTAATATGGTTTCTGTAGAAAAACAAACATGACACAAACATTATCAACGTTTTTCAATGCGTATGTGTAGAATAAATATTAAGAATAAGTATTAAATCTCAACATTTCTGTTGTGTCATAGCTGTGACACATGTTTATATCAGTAGGCAGGATGCCAGGCAGGTACCTGTTGTAAACCAACTGGCGGCTGTGTGATTGGCCATGGATCCCAAAGGGAAAAAGAAAAAAATAACTAAGGAGGTCAGAGGATTCAACGTTTCTTGACCAAATTATTTGCATTCATTGCCAATGCAGAAGGATTGCCTGAATGTCTGCTCTGTAGTGAGAAGTTCTCAAATAACAAAAAGGGCAATGAGGAAAGACAGTTCCAGGGAAGGCATTCTACATTTGCAGCCGAGTACCCAGTTGGGAATGAGAGAAAATGTGCAATTGCATTACTTCTGCAGAAATTAGAGGAGCGCAAAAATTAATTTAAGAAGTGGATTGCATCTCCAAACTCCACTACTGCTGCAAGGT